TTGGAGCCGGGGCTGGCGCTGGCCCTGACGGAGCCACCCACACCCTGGTGAAGCCGCCGCCCCACAGCCCGGCCGGGCCCTCACCCAGGTGGTTGACGCCGAACTGCATCTCGAAGCCGTCCTCGGTGGTCCAGTGCGGGCAGCGCATCACGGCCGCGTTGTTGACCAGGATATCCACGCGCTCCTCTTCTGGAAGACAGGGGTGAGGGCGGCTGCAGCCACAGGAGGCTCCACCCCTGCAGGCGCCACCACAAACCAGGGTAGAACAGTGTGCCCAACTCCTATGCACAGAAACCTGGGGACGCCGACCCTCCTGGAAACGGGGTCTTTATAGAAGGGACCACTGTGGAATGCCCCAGCCCAGTGTGCCTGGTGTCCCCACAAACGGGGCAAGCAGGGGCCAACGGTGGCGGCATAAAACTCAGGACTCTGCAAGGCTGACCCCCCAGGAGGGCTCCGGGCTCTCCAGAGACCTCCCTGAGCACGCCAGGCACACGCGTGGCCGTGTCAGGCTGGCGGAGGAGCCTGGGTGAATCCCTGGGTGGATCCTGGGACCTGGCAGCCTCTGAAACTGGGTGGTCAGTTCTTCTCTTTGATAACTGGTGCCCAGCAGACGGCATAATGGCTGTCGGACTCCTACATAGGTGACTGCAGTGTGAGTCCCGGACCTGGCGGCTTGGAGCTCACACCAGGTGCGTGTGCAAGCGTGCCCAAGGTCCCAGGAGAATGGAGGAGAAGGGACTGTGGTATGACCATCCCCAGAAAGTGAGTATGACTTCTCACTTTCTGCCTGTCTCTCTGTCTCTCTGGTGAGCACACTTACCCTATAACAAAAAATCTCTAAGAACAGTAACAGCTGTGACTGTCATTTCTAAGGTACAGGGTGGCGCGGTTTCCAGAGCGGGGACAGCGTGTGCTGCTCACGTTGGGGCCGTGGACAGCCAGCACCTCCAACGTCTGTCCCGCACGGTGTGCACGCTCAGACCTGCTCCTGGACGTGCACTGTAGTCCCCACCTTCCTGCAGTCCCACTGCGCTGCAGGACTCCGTGCCCTCCGCTCACACGCCCTCCTGTGTGGCCCCTGGGTCCCAGCCCGCAGCCCCTCCTCCCCTCTTCAGCTCTGCGCGACTCTGGCCTGTCTGTCTGCTTAGAGGCAGACAGCCCAGCAGGGTCTTCTGCCTCTAGGACGGCCTGGGCCATGGCACAGGGCTCAGGGAGAGCCTGGGGTGCACTCTGGCCTCCGTAAATACCTGTGTGGTCTGAATACTGTGTGCCCCAGCATTCCAGGGTGAAGCCCCAAGCGGTGGTGGGGTTAGGAGGTGAGGCCTGTGGGAGTGGGTGGTGGCTTCCTGAAGGCAGCAGAGAGCTGCCGGCCTATGCCTCAGGAGCACACAGGGGGCGCCATCTGTGCCCCAGGCTCCAAGCCCACCAGAGCCCGGACTCCGGCCTCCGGCCTCCAGGACTGCTTCTCCTTTTTCTTCCTTTACTGCCAGAGGGTGCACGTGCTCCCTAGAGACAGAGGGGGAGGGAGAGGGGGAAAGCACCCCGGTGGGCGATCTCTGCCGTCTCTCCATCTGTCAGGACTTGGGGCATGAGCACACACCTGATATATTTTTCGGGCTTCCAGTCCCAGGACTCAAACCACGGTCGAGAGAAGTGGGATTCAGGACCCTTAACCACTGCACTATGGCGCCAGGCCCGGATTTTCTCAATCACTTAAAATGTAAAGTATGAGCAGGGCCAACAGGTGGCATAGTGGCTCTGTTACTGCATTCTGACACGGTTGACCACAGTTCAAGTCCCGGACCCAGTGGCTTGAAACTCACGCCAAACGTGGGTGCATGGGTATACAAAACCCCATGGAAAATCGACGAGACGGACTGTGGCCATCCCCCTGGGGGGTAATTTCTCAATATCCGTTTCTCTGTCTCCTCTGTCTCTCCAGCAAGCACATGTGCCCTAATGCAAAAATCTAACAATAATAACAGTAACATGTGAACTAGGAGGGCCAGCAGGTGGCGTAGTGGTTAAGGACTGGACTCCCACATGGGCAACTGCAGTTTGAGTCCCAGACCCGCATCTTGAAAAGCTTGACACTCAGGCTGGTGCACACGCACGCCCAAAATCCAAAGAGGAAAATGGAGGAGAGACTGTGGCGTGGCCAACTCCGAGCGGTGCTGTGTCCCTTTGTCCGTCTCTGTCTCTCTTGGGTGGGTTTCTGAGAGTGGATTATTCACTTGTTTATTAAAATGCTTTTTCCTGTCCTGAGCCTCCAGGAGGCAAACGCACACTCCCTAAAAGCAAAAGTCTCTCAAAAAAGAAAAAAAGTCAACTATGTCACTGTGAAGATGTACAACAAGAGACAGCTGAAATCTTCACGCACAGCCAGCGCAGGGACAGCCAGTGGCTGTCACCGTTCGCCAGCCTACTGCACGACGTGCTTGCTTTGTTTTTAGTTCTTTATTTATTTAATTCCATTTGTCATTATTATTTTTTTGTTTTTTTATTTGACCAGAGTGACAGGGAACGTGACAAAGCAAGCTGCCAGGTCCGGCACTCGAACCGCAGTCGGCCATATAGAAATGGAACAGTGTCCTCGGAGCCGGTCCTTGAGAGCTGCCGTCCAGACCTGCCCACACCACTTACCTTCAATGATCTTGGCAGCAAACTCCCGGATGGACTTAAGGGAGGCCAGGTCCAGGTGCCGGGCCCTGACCCTGTGGTTGAGGGTCTCCCCACGGATGTCCCTGGCTGCGGTTTCGCATTTCTCCATGTCTCGACAGGCCAGGATGACCCTTTGGTTGAGGTTCTCCCCACGGATGTCCCTGGCTGCGGTTTCGCATTTCTCCATGTCTCGACAGGCCAGGATGACACTGCCTCCTGGAAGCACAAGGTGGGAAAAAGCGTTTTTTCTTTTTTACAGTAAGACTTGTTTTTTTTTTTTTAATAATGTATTTATTTATTTATTCATTCATTTATTTTGATTTGACCAGAGAGAGACAGAGATAGAGAAAGCGAGAAACCAAGGCACTA